GAAATATTGCCTTTTTTACATTTTATACACTGTGAATATGTTTTCTGCTGTTTTTTATAAGACAGTTACGACGCTTTTTCGGTTCTGGTTCTTCTAGGAGGGCCTCTGGCACTGGTTGCGGCTCATTTTGAACGATATTCGTTATATTTTCCCGCGCTGAACCCTACAAAGTAGGGGTTTCCAACCGCTTATTGAAGAAGTCCTCCCACTAGATCTTTCTCGATTTTACGGTACTCCAAACATGGTTATTCTTAGAGCGTAATGAACGTTGTGATAATACAATGATTCTGTTCGATGATAACTGAGGTATATTTGTATTTGATTCAATAGACGTATTTTCAGTGGCGGATTTGCCCTAAAGCTCAATAGGCCCGGGCCTAGGGCGGCCAAATGTTAGGGGTGGCCAATCCTAACAAAATATCACTGACAAGATATATGATGGGCTCTGAGAAAGGGGTGGCTGGAACTTACTACATGGGCTGGTGCCTAGGGCGGCCTAGACTATAAATCTGCCACTGGGTATTTTCATTTTGAACAGTCTCTTCGCTAACTATCTCGTCGGTTCACAGCTGTCTAGAGGACACCATATTGTTTTTTACTAAAATAATATTTATTCGTTAATAAGTCAATAAAATACAACGTTAATTCTCTCGAAATAATTCTCTTTAAAAACTTAAAATAAAAGTAAAAGTTACACAAAGCCTAAACATAGGTCAAGTTGACCTACACCAGTCCGGCGGGTACTAAGTTTGTTCGATCAATCACGACGATCGAAAGTAGTGTGCACAAGATAAAGCAGATATTTGTTTGTGTATAGGTAAAAATGACCTAGATTGGGCTTCTAGGGTTAACATGTTATTGACTTTTCTTTTGATTAAAGAATAGGTATTCATTATCGGGGAATACAACACAGACACTATTTTAACTACGTTTAATTTTCTAAGCAAATATCCGCGTCATACCTACATAAAAACAATTTTTACATGTAATTAATAATAGAATCCTTTAGTTGGTAAAACATGTTCACAATTTCATCTGTAACTTATAATCTTTTGGTATTGATATTTTGAATTAAACATTAAATCACTTGCAGTGGAAGGTACAAACATTTTGGAAGGTTACAACTTACAAATCTTACAACGCCGATAAATTTATTCAACACAACATCAGTGGCATACATTATCATGTCATGGCGAATAAGAATAGGAATAAATAAGTTCAATGTAATTATAAAATAATAAAATCTTTATTTTAAATAAATAACCTATACCTAGACATTCCAATGAGATCAGCGTTTAAAACCAGACACTCGTGCATTTAGGTGTCGGTCGGTTCTATTACGCGATACTATTAATTTACTATTATAGCACGTCAGCTAGGGGCGGATTTAACACTGAGAGCGCTTAAAGCCCAAATTCATGAATATAATAATTATATAATAATTTCTGGCTTTACACGCCAGTCGAACTTTTTAGTGTAAATTTAAAAACAAGTTTTAAATTTTTTCTTCTCGAAAACTATAAGCTACCAGAGAATTCTGCTTGTTGATTATTTTATGACTGATATTTCTCTAAAATTTTTTGTTAGGTCGAAAAACAGCCGGCACTAATAGAAAAAATATTTGGTAATTTGCTAATGGTTTAATCAAGATGTTTATGGTTGTACCATATCTTGATTAAACCATTCAGTGCAATAATTATATTCTTGTGTTTCGTTATTTGTATCTCAATTAACTGGTTAATCCACCATAAACATTTTATTTTGCGACTGCTTCACAACTTCACAACTGCTGACGCAGTAGGCGGTGTAGGCTCGGGCAAATTTTGTGGCTGTATATAACTGGTAGGAATTTCATATTTCATAGGATCGACAGTAAAGTAGTACTTTGGATTGCCTTAGAAGATTCAGAATCATCACTTAAAAAAAAATACGATATTTTTCGTTTGCTTCATTACATTATGTTTTTCTTCTTACTCTTTAGCCTTCCTTTCATATTCTGCAACACTAGTAATAAACAAAAATTAATTAATTACACACATAACACCGCAGCGAAAACGTAAACAATAAAAAGTCAGAATCGAACCGAACTCGACTTCGATACTTTTAGTTAGAAGTCAAAGATCGCGTCGATACGCGAGCGTGGTTTGGCTCTACTAGAAGACATCGAGCCATCGCACACCACCTACTGGCGGTTGGCCTGAAGTTTGAAGCAGAGACCCGTGAATCCCTAACGCCGTTAGTAATAACTAATAGTGCTTCAATAACCCTAGACTACTCTGAAAAATCCGAGTGCCTTGCGGACAACCTAGAGCAGCAACGTACACCATCGCGCGAACACGTCGATACAGCCCACCTAACGGAGTTGGATCATGTAATCGAACTTAGGGCTGCGCTACCACCGGTAGATAACCTTTAACCTCAGTGAACCCCGACGAGGTACAAGATAATATTAAAAATCTCAAACACAAATTTGCCCAGGCCCAAATAAAATTAATAACAAAGTCTTAAAATCTCGACCATTTTAAACACACTTGTTCCACATAATAAAGAAAAAGTTTATGATTTCTTTGCAGATTTTTAAAATTTTTGCTAATGTGCGAACTACCCGTGCCGCCACCAATCGAACAGGATCGGAGTCCAAGGTCGATGTAAAGGCACGTCGAGTTTAGAGCGCTAATATATTTAATACTTTCCGCAAAAACTTTTAATTGTTCAACTTATAATATTGGCGCGAACCTCCATGCTTTAACAAATCATTTAAAGGGCATTGCCCGTTTTCTTAGGAGCTTTGGGCCCCTCAAAAAAATTCTTACGTCACTGTGATTTTAATACTATTTCGTAGATAAATTATTACCTTTTAATGTTCTGCAAACTATTTCTGTTTATTCACCCGGATTAAAAAGAAATCTTACTTTTTATGTTGCTAAAGTTGAGGTTATGTCGAATTGAACTATATGATATAACGGATTCAAAATGTTTGTGAATTCAAAATATATTCATTCAAATAAATGTTTGTTCGTACTTATAAAATGTGGAACTTTTTACATGAAAATTAATAGTTAATTATAAGTTCGTAAGGTTTTTTTTGTGTGAATTTGTCAGGCAAGCTGGCAGTTTACCTAATGTTAAGTGATAACCTTAGCTCATTGACTTTATTGTAACACCCATAGGGTTGCAAATGCGTTGCCACCTTCTAATGTGGGCCCCGGCTAATTCACTCATCCGACGAAACGTTGAAGTCTAACACTTCCACTTCACTCCAGTTTTCTGTGTGTTAGTCGTCTACGTCTTCCCCAGATTGTCGTGCCTATTCGTGTAACAGCGAAGACTGTTTCGTGGCTCTACAACCGTTAGTAGGTTTATGAACTTAATGATGGGAGGTTGTTTCGATGCAGTTTAAAGTGATTCTGATAATATAACAGGTTTATTAAAAAAACAACAACAAGAAATAAACAGAATTATTTATTTAAATACTACAACAATGATATGGTATGAGCGCAGCACCCTACTGTACGATTTCCCATTTAGCAACTGCAATAATAAGCCATTATACTATCTAAAGAATTTTTCCTATTCTGATCTTTACTTATTAATAAATACGTAAAGTATGTCCTGCTGCTAACATGTCGTGATTTAATTCTTCCCCTTAATAAATAATTGTTAAGACCTAATATTAAGGGCAAATGCTCTATTAATTCATTGCTTATCTCTATAATAGAATTATATACTATAATACTATTATTATATTATATAATACAATTATATACTATAACTATATACTATAATAATTAATAAAATATAGGAAATTATCGAGATGGGTGGCACTGCTGTCAATGCTATGGAAAATCGTTCGCTTTCTGTTTATGTTTTCCCTTTGAATAAATTCCGATAAATTGTTAGTTGTATTTAATCTTGCCATAGCAATATTAAGAAACTCTACAGCATCGGGGCTATTTTTAATTTTGGGATGGAATTTATTCAACAGAGAAAAAGCTATTTTAAAATCAATCATAAGGTGGCTTGACGCTCTATTAAAATATTCATTTTGAAATAAAAGTTTGTTTTGATTCTCCCATTCACAACCCCTAAAACCCACCTGCACATTGTTATACATCTAGATTTGTTGGCCTGGTGAGCTGTGAATTAGCTTTCATTTTCCCTTAATGATTCATGCATATGAGCCTTGTAATTATATTGTTCTAATTCTGAAATCACATCCCTAAAGCCTGTCCAAAATGAAAACATAATGTTGCCTAAAATATGAGCGCATAGAACAATTTTAGTTTTGAAATGATGCACTCATAATAATGAGTCATTTCGTGTTGCTTCATATTCCTACACACTAAAATGTACCCATCACAGCAAACAAATAAAAATGGTTTTACTAAATAGCTATACTTATGTAAGCTATAGGTTTGTTTTTGGTATAAATAATTGCTGCTGCTTTGGACCTAAACATATGCACTATCGCATATAACAATAGCAGGCGTAATATTTAAAGCCACTGAAGCATCCTCAAAAAATCCCTCTGGTATAATTCTATTGCGTGATGCAACATTTTGGACAGTCATGTCATTGATTCCTAAATATCTCGACATTAGCTGTGCAATTTAAACAATTTCTAACAATATTCATTTTTCATTTCAAAGTGGATCTGGGTATTCTAAACAGAGTTGATAGCCTTTCATTACTGTCACCTGTTCTGAGCTTGACCAAAAATATAGTGAGAGCAACAGAAGGGTTTGCAAAATGATCATATAACATTGGAGTACTGATTAATAATTCATTGAATTGTTCAGTTAAGTCCCAACCAATAATGGCATAAATGTTGATCCATTGAGTTTATGTCATTAAAGTCTATTAGTCTCTCTGTAGCTTTTTCTAGTTTTGAAAATATATCATCAACTCGACATCCAGTAAAATCTGAAAATGGGGTCTCAAGTTCACTCCAATGATTGCTGTTTCTTGTTTCAGCTGCCCAACAAGGATGACACACTCTATCCAAATGTCTGACCTTAAAAATAAATTAGATATGTTTTGGTTCAAGAATATTAATCTATTAAATATTTAATTAAGTAAATAATTATTGAATAAATTAAAATTAAATAATTTATTCAACAATTATTTTAATTATATTAAATAGTTTTTTAATAACACTTACATGATGAGCTGGAGTCTATCTTAAGATAAAATTCCTTTGAGGGCAGTTTTATGAAACTCTGTAAGTTCTGTCTTTCAATTGAGGTGCCACATCCAAAACATATGTTTACATGTCCAAGCGCAGGGGACAGAGGTATCACTGCTTGAGAGGGAGTTGTGTTTGACAACATCTGCTCTTGTAACAAAACAAAACATTCAATACACAGAATGTCATCAGAGGATACCTGAAAAAGAAATAATATATTAGAGTATGTTTTTAAACCTTAATTTTTATAAAATTGTGTACCTAATATATTGTCCCTTGGATAATGGATAGTAAATACATTTGCCAAACATAAATATACACTTACGGTAGTTATACCAACAAAAGAAAACTATGGAGCTATTGTAAATGCTTATTAGTGATTTATCTAAAAATGCGCATTTAAATATCCTACAGATATTAATATATTCGCGCTTAACTACTAAATAGTCAACAGTTTAGTGGTGTATAAGTAATCATATCTTTTAAAAAACTCGATTAAAACTTACCGTCGTAGGCGGCACCCAAGTTCGTAGAATGACTAGCAATTGTTCGTCTAGTCCTTCAATTGGTATTCTACGAGGATTAAAGCGCCAAATGCAGGGAACAATTTATACACCTGCGTGAGAGTGGACGGTTTATCTGATCTCGACCAGGGGTTCACATTTTCAACCGTTTAGCTTTCAATAATGTCCAAACACTTACTTTTAACAACAATAATTGCCCAATCGCTCACTTAAAATTAAAACTTACTAGCATTATATCGAAATTCATAACGTAAATACGGAGGAATATGATAACTCAACTCAACGCAAAATACCACGAGTGTAACGAGACACGGAATAGCAAATATGCAATTATTAACTAATAACAAGCAATAAGCAAACAAACAGATGTTGTGAAAGACCGTAAATGAATCATGGCGGCAAGTGTTGCTAGGAATAATTAGTTTAGCAGTCGATTATTTGTAATCGATTTTATATTTTTCTTAAGCTTAAAGCCCCTTCAATATACAACGATGCATATTGAAAATAATAATTATTATTTAATAATACTTAATTTTTAACTAAGTAAATGATTTTGTACTTAATTAAGAATGAAACTAGTTTTACGGATTAATCACGTTTATTTTAATTCCCGTACGGTAACTTACGATGGTAGGGCCACGAAGCAGCCTCAGCTGTTGCACGAATGGGTAGGCCCGTCTGGGTAAGTACCACGACCTCACAGAAGACCGGCGTAAAGTGGAAGTGTGACAAATACTTTCGCGTTTCGTCTGGTGAGTGAGTTAGCCAGGGCCCACTTTATTAAAAGGTGGCAACGCCTTTGCAATCCTATGGATGTTGCAACTGTTCATGGCGGCGGTTATCACTTAACATCAGGTGAACTGACAGCTTGTTTGCCACTTTCTCACATAAAAAAATATACATAATTAATATATATAATTAATGTTTATGATAAACTATTCATACCTGCTAAAAATCCAAGTGCCACACTAACAGACTTGCTAAATACCTGGGTGCAATATTTGACCTTCATTTTCGGTATCATTTTTGGTACCACATGTTGAGCAGTAAGCTAATTTTACACCCATAAAGGTAGGGCTTCTTAAAAAAAGATTCTCCACATGTGTCCACTTCGCGATTCGTACCTGGCCATCCTCAATATATTTTAAATTTTTGTTCAACAAGTTATTACGTACACCCTTTATTAAATGTGGTGCATCATAAATGGGTACAACATATTATTACGTAAGTATTTCGCTATGGTCTCATCCATCAGTTGTTTAATTGCAGCAAGATTTGTCACCCCTTGGTCACAGACAGTTGCAACAACTTTGAGGCCTATATTTTGAACTTTTTCAATTACATTTTGGAGTTGAAATTTTAGATCTGCTGTCTTGGTTGTACCTGAATAAAAACTATAGGCTATTGGCTGTTTGTATTTTTTGACAATGCCTCTCACCATAAATACAAGTACATGGTCTGTAAATATTAATTCTCGTTTACTACCACTGTCAAAAAAAGCCTGTAATACAGTCATGTGCCCTGTCATAATGCAAATTAGTTCCTATTGACATTTCATCAAACAATATGGAACAAAATTTATATTTGTTTGGCATTTTCGACACGGTTTTCTAGGTGTTTGAAAATATTTTCATTGATGCCAGGCAATAAATCAATTTTTTGCAGTAAATTCTGCAATGTTCTTCCACTTGGTATTACACATATTTGACTAAGCAAGCGGTAGGCTTTAGGAGAGGGCTTATATAGAGATAATGCTAAAATTTTCTCATCAATGGTAAATCTCCTTCCTCTAGGTTCTTTATTAAATCCTTTTATTTGCATGCAAAACAAACTTTTGGCTGCTGGTGACATGTATTTTGTCAATACTTCCAAACCTTTAAGGCCCATTTACATGGTGCCAGTTTCTTGCCTGTTGTATACAATTAAATTGAAGCAATAAATGAGTTGCATGGTCTAAACAACAAATGGTCTAAACAATTATTGCGCGCGATTTATTGCATTCAATTATTGCTCTTGTATGTACAAGAAAATGGCATCGTGTAAATGGGCCTTAAGTCTTTTTCAGCCCTGTAGTCCCGGGCTTATAGAATAGGGCTAAGGTATCCCCTGCCTGTCGTAAAAGGCGACTAAAAGGGGACACGGATGGGCAGCACACGAAGTGGTCTCGTGTTGCTGTAAGAGGGTGAGGGGGTTGGAGAAGGTTTATCCTTCTCCGAGGCGTGCTCAGGATTTCCCCCCCGGTACCAAAAAAAAAAAAAAGTCTTTAATACTTTTTTTGCTAACATATATCTTTTATAAAATTTTTGTTTGCCTTTAAAACATTGTTGAAGCCTGAGCTGCAGCTTTTTCACTTTATTTTCATTACAATTTTTTTTTCAAGTATGTTTCTGTAAACATGAAAAAATATAACTGTATATATAATATAACTGTAATTTAGGTAAAAATTAAGTGTTTTAATAAATAAATAATCCTGATATAATGCTACACAAGTACAAAAAAGGAGTAGATGAATAGAAAATAGATGTCTGAACTATAATTTATAATAACGTATTCTGCTCTATTTTGGCAAACATACTTTACAATTTTGCATAAAATATTATATTCCTTTAAAGTTTTTCATTATCCTTAAATACTCTTTTTAAGGATAATGAAATAATTTCTGTGTGCTTGCACACAAAAATAGTCTTCAAGAGAAGATAAATAAATTCTAAATATATAAAATTTCGAAAAATACTTTCTTTTTGTTCTAAATACTTTATTTTTCCGTACTTGAAAAATGTGATACATTATTTTTCTCAAAAAACAGTTGGCAATCCTAGTCTGAATCATTAGTAAAGGATTAAATCAATAGATAATTTTTATTACACAAAATAGATAATATTTTACATATTCAAATTTAAAAATAAAAGGTATTTTTTTCGAAATTCATTAGATTTTTACTTTCTTATGAGTAAGTAATACCTGAAGTATGTGGCCTGTTTTTTACATTTTTTCGGATAGATTTCTGTCTTTCTATATTAGAAAGACACAATGTGACATTGTGAGATGTAGATGGTTGGTCTGGGAGCAACTGATCTGCACTTGATGCTGAAAAATGGAATTATAATATGATTAAAGAAATAAAATATCCAAGTAGATAGATTTTATAGAAATAAAATATCCAAGTAGATAATTTGAAGAAATTTTAAGTAATAACTAATTATTTAAACTCATTTCATTTGTGGCATAATCACAATTTCTTAAATTATTTCAAAATAATGGCAGTTTCCATGAGAAAATATTTAGATACAAATGTTTTCTAAGTCTCAAAGTGTCCCCCCACCCCTAGTTTACTGGGATTATTATACTTTCACATATTATCATATAAAAGTATTAGTAAAGTATTAAGATATATGTTGAGGTTTTATAGCGCAGAGTGAAACGCAGTGTTCTAAATGTTATTTCCTTTAATGTCTACTATGGTACACACTTTTATAATGTAACTTAAACTCTTCTAACGCTTCTCAACTTATTACACATTTCGCCATATTGTTTTAATTTTACCATAAAGAAGAGAACAAATCAAACTATAATTATTAGCACTCTATGGTATTAAGCTATAACACCTAGTGTTTATATCAATTTAACATTACACTCAACACCCTCCCTTAATGTTAAATTATCACAACTTCTACTCTTAATGAATTTACCCTTTGACAGAATTTATCTTATTTAACACTTTATTTTTCCAAAGTTTTCCTAGTACTGAAATTTAAACATCTTACATACCAACATATCTATCAACATACATTTCTACTTTATTTTTCATCATATTATGCTACATTAAACCTATTTTGTTTCTAAAAAATTCAAACATTGTTCTTCCTAATGGTTTTGTAAAAATATCACCTAACTGTTCTTTGCTACATAAATATTCTAACATAATATTATTCTCTTTTATCTTTTCTCGTACAAAATGCACTCTTATGTCAACATGCTTCAGTTTTGAATGATAATATGGACTCTTACATATTTTTAGACAACTTTGATTGTCTTCATAGATTACAGTTTTTATTTTGTGATCACTACATACTCTAAAATCTCTTAACATATATTGTAGCCAACATGCTTCAGCCACAGCCAAACTAATAGCAACATATTCTGCCTCGGTTGAGGATAATGCAACTGCTGACTGCTTTTTGGATAACCAAGAAATAGTACATCCATAAACTCTAAACACATAACCAGTAGTTGACTTACGGTCATTTTTATCCCCTGCCCAGTCTGAGACTACATAGCCTTTAATTACATGTTCATCTTCTCTCTTAAACACTAACTTTAAATTTATTGTACCTTTAATGTATCTCAAAACCCTTTTTAAAACTATATATAATTCCTCACTAGCACAAGATTGATACCTACTTAATATACTTATACAGATGCTGAGATCTGGTCTAGAACATAACATGGCATACATTAAAGCCCCTATTAACTTTCTACATTTTGTTTCAACTTCTGGACTTTCAGACTTGCATCGTTTCAAGTTACTATGGTCAAAATTTTGATCCATGGGGAATGAAATTGGTTTACACATACTCATTTCAAAATAATTTAAAACTCTCATTAAATATTTAGTCTGATCAATGGTTATAGTGTTATTTTCTACATCCTGATGTATATGCATCCCTAAAAAATTGCACACAGGCCCTAGATCCTTAACTTTAAAACTTTTACTTAACATTCTCTTTACATTATTTACTTCAGACATTTGTGTACCTGCAAGCAACATATCATCTACATATATTAAAATGTATATGGTGTATTTATAATTTGCCTTTACATAAAAACAATACTCATGCTCAGATTTTACAAATCCCATTGACAACATTACATCATTAAACTTATTGTTCCAGCTTTTTGGAGATGTTTTCAAGCCATACAATTATTTATTTAATTTTAATACATAATTCTTTTCATCTAAACTCATATGAAAACCTTTAGGAGGCACCAAATACACATCACCGTCTATGTCACCATTTAAGAATGCACTACATATGTCAAGTTGAAAAACATTGATTCTCATTAGGTTACATATGCACAAAAATAGTCTTACGGAGGATAGTTTTGCCACTGGACTGTAAACTTCATTTATATCAATGCCTGTCTGCTTAAAACCACGTGCAACTAATCTGGCTTTATAAACAATCATATTCCTTTCATCCACCTTTTTTTTAAAAACCCATTTACAGTCTATCACTTCCACATCACTTGGTTTCTTAACTTTATTCCATGTGTTGTTTTCCTCTAAAGCTTTTATCTCTTTTTCAATGGCTTCCTTCCATTTTTCTCCATCTACACCCGATATCGCTTCATAGTAGGTGACTGGTTCACCATCTAATGCTGAGAACATTGCAGTGTGGTAATCTTCTAAATAACATGGTCTCTTTAGTTTTTTTATATCTCTTAAATTATATCTTTTTGTCACTCTTTCTTCTTCATTTTGCTCATTAGCAGACAAATAACTTTCTTCTTCTTGCACACTTTGAATCACTCCACAAGCATCATTTGAATCTTCATTTTGAACATCTATACTACTTTCATTTAAACATTCACTTTGTATATCTACATAGTCTTTACCTAAATTCTCTTCGCACAACTCTAATCTCAGTTCATTTTCTTCATTTACTCTTTCAACACTGATACTCTCATTTCTTTTAGGCAAGAATACTAAATCACGAACAGTCTCCAACCTGTTATCATTAGGAAAATATACCCGAAACCCTTTTACATTCTCTCCATATCCAACAAACACTCCTTCATGGCTCTTCGGATCCCACTTAAGTCTCTTCTGTTTTGGAACATGGACCGATACTCTACATCCAAACTCTTTAAAATATGTCAAATCTACTGCATTTGACTTAAAATATAGCTCATATGGTGTGTTGCCTATTACAGGACTGGGTCCCGATCTATTCAAGGTGTAAGCTGCAGTGTTAATAGCCTCTGCCCAATATTTCTTACTCATACCTTGTATCATACTTCTTGCAGCCTCTACCAAAGTCCTTATTTCCCTTTCAGCCCGTCCATTTTGTTCTGGAGTATAACTAACAGATCTCTGATGTTTGATTCCTTGTTTTGTTAATATTTTATTCA